GGGTGCTGAGAGACATGGAGAGCAACATATTAGCCTTGTTCTCAGGCCCTGTGGGAATAGGAGACTCTAATAGAGCTGAGATTTTAGCGGCGGTACAAGGTATTCAGATTGCAGAAGAATTAGGGGTTCAGCACTTGGTAGTTGGAGACTCTCAAATTGCGGTGGGATGGTTAAAAGACCCAGCTTCAGCCATGTGGCAACACAGATATATTAGGGAGAGTAAACTGGCTTACAAGAAATATGACTGTTACCTCTCTATGGGTGGGAAGATCAGCAAACACCTTAGTGGATGGGTTAGCTAAGCAGGGGGCTACAAGGGAGCAGCTATTTTGGGTTGCTTTATAATTTTATTTATGGCTAATTCTGTTTTATTTTGATGTAATACTTTTCTGAAGAGGTAACAGTTCGTGCCTCTTCAATGGTGTTTCTTCTGATTTAATAATTTTTTTCATTCATCAAAAAAAAATCGAATGCTAAAATGGATGAGTGAAAAAACTAGAAAGGATAAGATTAGGAATGAACTTATCCGTAGGAACCTAGGAGTAGCTCCAATAGGTGATAAAATGAGAATGAGTGGACTAAGATGGTTTGGGCACATGCATAGAAGACCAGCACCTGTGCCGGTTAGAAGAAGTGATTTGCTACACATTAAAGGGGCTAAAAGAGCACAACGTAGACAAAAAAGGGCATGGGTAGTAGTAAGAAATAATATAAGCACTAATAGTTTAACACATGGATATGGCTTTAAATAGAACAGATTGGTGAAACAGGACTCGTGTAGTCGAGCCCATATAGTTCGGATAAGTCATGGATGATGATGACGATGATGATGATTGACATTGCATTGTAAAGTTGATTAGGTAGCATGTTCACATTTAGAAAAATATGTTTATAAAAAATGGATATATATATATATATTCCCATTCAATTGTGAACATGTTTGAATAATTCACTTATCAAAAATCTACAAAACGATGTAAAATATTTGAAGCATAGAGTTCAAAATATAACATTATTTTCAAAATTACTCTATAAATTTATGTGAAACAGGATTCATGTTTGAATAGCTTGCTAATCAGAAAGCCTGCAAAATGTCCCAACTATCGCAGGGATACGACACTGAACAGAATGGAATGACGAAACAAGATTCATGCCGCCAACCCCATATGGTTAGGAAAAGGCTTAGATGATGAAAATTAATCATGCATCCTAAAAATGTCAAGTAACCAGAAAAGGAAAAATCACTACCCAGCAACTTGAAATTACCATCAAACATAATGTGATACCAAACCACAATGCAGATCCTGATACCAAAATATAAAGAAAGCATTAGCATCTGGCTAGCAAGACTGCACCTAGTAGTTACCATGGCTGGGTAGCAAAAAGGACACTGAAGAATCACATCTTGAAAGGAGAAATTGAAAGGGAAATGTGATCTCAGGAAGTTGCATGATGTCGACCCCTAACATATACCTAGAAGACATAATTGGTGCAGGAATAATTCTCTGATAGTTCCATAAATCTACAAAAAGGTTATCCACGATGAAGGTATTGATGCATGCTCGTCAAAGTAGAGGTAGGTACAACTACCACTACCTACCTTGAAGAACATATATTGAAAAGTTGGGAAGACCCCTCAGCAAATAAGTCAAATATTCTAGAAACATTCTCAATCACGAAGATTTCATTATAACAGACAGTAAGTTAGTTACCAAAAAAAACAGTAAGGAACAAATATGTCATTGAAATGAGTAACTCAAATGTGTGAGAGAAAAAAAACTAAGGTACTATGACAGTTTTTTAAAAGGCATGGGAGGCGTACGCCTGGAGGCACGCCTCCAGGCGAGGTGCTCCCAAAATGCCCTGAGGCGTATGCCAGAGGCGCTGACACCTCTGAGGCGTACGCCTCATGTGCGTTTTTCATGAGGCGTGCTAGAGGTGTACGCCTCATGTGCGTTTTTCATGAGGCGTGCTAGAGGTGTATGCCTCATGCGCCTCATGCACATCTTATCTTATATAAAAAGACAGAAAAAAAAAGAGAAGAAAAAAAAGAGAAGAAAAAAAATAGAAAAGGAAAGGAAAGAGAAGGGAGGAAAAGATAAGAGGAAAGAAAGTGGTTTGCCCCCTGCCCTTTCGGCTCTTGCGTTCTGAACTCCTCACGCCTCTAGGTAGTGGAACGCCTCACATCACACCTCCACGTTTTAAAATATTAATATAGAATTAAACTACAGTATTGTGAATAATAGTATTTCCGAATAATAGCTGACATCAGGACATTCATAACTAAACATTTCAAACATGGACAGAAATCTCTAGTCCAGTACAAGCATGTGAATAGACACTAACAATCATAACATTGATTTGATAAAAAAGCATTGAAAAAATAATTACTTTTGCAGCCTTAGCTATAAGCTTTTTCTCCTTTTCTGTTGCAAACCAAGTTCTTTTAGGACGTGAATAAATTTCCTCCCTGTGTGCAATCATATTTTCCACCTGCAAATATTGGAAGTCAAAAATCTCCATATTAAAAAATAAAATCTCAAGCAAGCATTCTTTAATTAGTAGTTAGTACTGATAATATCATCAGAGCCATGGATATGGCAAAATACGATGTTATTTCAATGACAATGGCATGGCAAATCCTAACGTGATTAGCTTCTTCCATGTGTCATTCTCCAATGCATGGATTAACTTCTAATTATAGAAAAATAAATATACTGCAAAAAACTCCAAAAAAAGAAGGCAAATCAGAAACTAGAATATTGAACCTTTGATGCTTCCATTTCAGCTTTTCTTAGGGCCCTTTCCTCCCTGCACAGGATTAATGTTCTTACTGAGATTTGAAAAATTACATTTACAAGAGAAATCTTCTTCTATGAAATTCAATAAGAACCTCTCCTCTTGAAGAATGACAGCAACTTGATCTTCCATTTGTTCAATAATCTGACACCACTTAGCTATTGATTGCTCTGCAACTATTCGACTCTTCAATTTTGAACCAGCTCGCTTTGCCTATTACATTAAAATCATTCTTGCTAAATAAAATAATTCATCAAAAAAAAAGAATAAATCCTATCTGTGGTTCATTACAAGCATGATCTGCCTAATAAAAGAAACCACTAGCAGCTTCTTTAAAAGCATATTTCTATTTATAATTTTCTTCTTTACATCCATTGATATAATGCCTATGTGAGGCTAGGCAAGGGGCCCACATGTAACTCCTACTCCCTGGTGATTTGAGCAAAACTACATTTTCAGGAAATTAGAGATGTTTTCCTTTCTTACACATTGTTGTACAGATTTGAGTACATAAAATGTTGTATATCCTTGCTGAAACAAACTAAAGGTTATCAGGATAACCATTAAATAAACATAGAGATAATTATCTACACAAGACCAATTAACAAGAAGCATATGTTATACCCAACTCAACTCAGTCGTTCCCAACCATTTGGGGATAACAAGAATATGTTATATTCTTATATGAGCCACAAAGTTGCTGATCAAAAGAAAAATGAGATAAAAATTTAAAAATCCAAACTATTTATATGAAGATATTAAATTATACAAAACAATATATGTGTGTGCATGTATCTGCTATTAATGCTAACCAAAACATTTTTATAGAAGGAACAAACCATTACAATAAAATGGAGAATACAAGATCAGATGATAAGAAATCACCTGAGGAGAGAAAGAGAAGTCAAACTAACATCCCCCCCCCGAAAAAAAGAACAAAAACCCCTAAAAATCCAAGCAAATTCATTATATGTATTATACCATACAATTATTTCCTAATCTAATTAACAAAATTGTTTGACTTATTTCCAATAAAAAATGTATCAAATATGATACATGATTATAGGTATTTGTATCATCAATACAGTTCCACATTATTAATTGAAAAAAAAAAATACAGTTCTACATTGAAAACTAATACAACTAACTAGTAATGGTAGCTCTATTTGTGATGCTTTTGTTTGTGTTTCCTATGTTGTTAATAGTACCAATCTAAGCAAGAGAAGATCCCCGTAAACACCAGAAGAGCACCGAGTTTATTGTCACCTAAGTAGCCTATTGCCTAGGGAAGTGCAAAACAACTATTCACCTAGACAACCACCAAGTGCCTTTAACAGAATATAGCATCACTCACAATGGATTTTAAGACAGATCGATCATTATCAGTGACAAATGTAACAGCATATCCTTCTCTCCCAGCTCTTGCCGTACGACCAACTCGATGAACATAGCTACAAAGAGAAAGGAAAACATCAGAATCACTGGAATGCAGAAAACAATGACAAAAGGCTATTATTGGATGGAAAGTCCTACTAATGTGCAATTTACTAAAAATGTCTGGACCAACAATGCTTGTTATATATTCTTGAAGACATCAAGAAGAAAAAATGAATGCAACTGAGGCAAAACATAAGGAATTATAAGCCAAATGAAACGAGGATTGATGAATAACAGTGAAATGATCTCCATTAAGATTACAATGAGTAATGGTGAAATGATCTCCACTAAGATTATAATGGTGAAATGATCTTCACAGCACAGAGACATTTGGTGGCTCAATCAAGGCTGGAAGAAGGAGAAACTTAATATGACAGGATACAACATAAAATATAGGCAACATCAACAAGCAATAAGTAAAAGTCGTATTTTACCTTGTAAGGTCACGAGGGCATGCAAAATTTATAACCGTTTGAACACCAATTATGTCAAGTCCCTAAAGAAAACCACCAAGAAAGCCATGTATTACAGAACAATACAAGTTATTTTGCAGAACCTTTTTTTTTCCTAGTAGAATTTCACATGAACAGAAAGGCCTCAAAAGCAAAGGGGTTCCTAGTTTGAAATATCTAATCCATGTGCCTTTGAAAAAGAAAAAAGACAGAACATTAAGAGGGGGAAATTAAATAAAGGGAAAGCATAAAATATTCTCCTTACACGAGCAGCAACATCAGTTGCAATCAAGAAGTCCACTTGCTGCTTTCTGAAAAGTTCCAAAGCCTGGACAAGGGACCAATTAAACTAGTTAGACTTGGATATTATAAGAAAGATGTCTATGTTACAGCCAAAAGTAGTTGACAGTAGAACATTGAATCATTTTTTTATAATTAGAAAACAGAATCAATTTTTTAATTGATTTAACAATAGGTGGAGTATATATCCATAAAATTAGCTTGTAAATGGTGCCTGGAAATCAAATTATGAAACACAACGCATGCAGCCTGTAAACACTGGCACACAGATCGAATAGGCAATATATATGTAATAGTTTTTAGAAGGCCTTATAATAAACAAAAGCTCACAATTTAATCAGTAAACATGCTGAAATTTACATCCAGTTTTACAAGGACATCTCAAAAATCACACATCTAGCTGTGATCTGGTGAAATAAGTATTGTTAGATGGTTCTGCTACAACCTTTAAGTCAGTAATAAAATGTCCACATTGTTTATTTCATCTACTATTTATTTATTGTCATGTCCAAATGCCACAATTTCTGGGGGTTCACATGCACCTCTGGACACTCAAACACTTGACACCCATGCCACCTGCCAGGCAGCACCATTTACATTGTAACTACCTAAACTTTCCAAAAAGAAAATACAATATCTACCGATGAACTAAACAAGTTGCAACATAATGTAAATGCACTCATCTAGTCTAGAAAGAAATTTGGCAACTCACATCAAGGCGTTGAACTTGTGTAAGATTTCCATGTAGCTCAGCAGCTTTAAAACTTGCTAGCCCAAATAAAATTTTTAACCTGTGTGCAGCTTGTTTTGTTCCACTGCCACCAGAAACATTGAACCAACATATAACATTAGAGCTTTACAAAAGGAAATATGAAATGAACAAACAATTCTGCTTAGTGATTGGTATTTCACACTTCATTGCAATTCCAGCGTAACCATTTCTGTCATTTCTTGTGTTAGACTATGGACTGTTTGAAAAAATTACAAATCTAAATGTATCTCCTCAAACTAAAAGTTTCTTTAAATACTAAAAAAGCATGACCAATATACAGTGGAATCATTTTTGCTGTGACTTATAGTGAGCAAAAACCTGAAAATGATCACTTTGGATATGAATGTCTTCGAGCATAATGCAAGAAGAACTGCCTCTTGATTTACTTCACGTGAACGACGTATTCTAACCACCCTGCACAAAAGTTACCATGATTATGGAGAAGTTGGACAAAACTTCCATGATAGTGAAGTATCAGTACCATTAAAAAAGGACCAACCACAATAATAACCACAAGACAAAATCCACAATGGGCACTATCAACATGAAAATGCAAGTTTCCCACTTTAAAGCTTTTCTTCCATGTGCCTGTGCACAAAAGGGGTCAGGAGGTGGGATACAATGTGATTGATATTTTCCTAATCATTCTTAACACCAAGAGTCACACCACATATGTGGGACAGCACATGATTGTAAAGCTTGCCCAACAGAAACAAGTAACCAATACACTTAAGATATTATAATATACTATTTTAACCATGCACTTGAAGAAATATGTGTGTATGTATGTTAAAGCTCAGCAGAAGAACTATAAAGGAATTACTCCTCAGTCAGTGTTGCAGGTCTTTTTGTAGATGGATCAGCAGAAAGACGGACAGGCTTAGTTAGAGAAAGCTTGATTAGCTTGTCAACTTCCTCAGTCATTGTAGCTGAAAATAGCATGGTCTGTCTCCTTTTGGGACATACGCGAACCTGCCATTTATGAAAAAGGATAATAAATATTTCAAGTAAGCAAAACAGAAGAAACTGCTGGTATACTTTTTCTACAATAGTGCCTACACCTGAGAGTGATCTATTCGGACAGGAAATATGGAATTATAACCAATATTACATCATACACATAAAAGCTTCAGATATATGGTACAAGCATATGCTCAAGATCTTTTAAAAGGGGACAACAACTACCTCACAATCCTCTTCTAAAAATCTTCATTTATGGTGATTCAAATATTCAACAGCTGTGATACAGTTATATAGCACCTTAACTAAAAAAGTTAAGGAATAGTTATAGCATACTTCTAATTAATGTAAACCAAAGGTATGATGTTCCTAATGGCTCAATGATGAAACACAGACATTGGGATCACCATGCACCTACATGGGCAGTTATCAAACGCCCCTTAGAGAAACTTTAGGTTTTTAACCAAAACACACTAAAATGCAAACCATATTATAGATGGTTCAAGGGATCAACAAACTACAAGTTGAAAAAGATTTTTCTAAGTAGTTGCAAAATCTTTTACAAGATTGATATTGCACTAAACAGAATGGAATGGCAAAACAGGATTCATGTAGCCAAGCCCATATGGTTGGGACAAGGGTTAGTTGCAAAATCTTTTACAGTTAGAGGATGTCACAGTGGTTGAAGTGGAGAGGTGCATCAGGTGCATTGCATGGTTAGCGTATAAAAATAGTGGGCCTAAGGAAAACTATATAAGACTGCTATAGGGACAGCAAAGTTGTATGGAACATAGTGTTGAACAATCAAGAAACAACATATCAAAAAAAATAAAATGAGTGTAGCTGAGATGAGGATCCCAACATGGATGAATTGAAAGACTAGAAAAGATAGAATTAGAAATAAGCATATTCAGAGGATTGGATAGTAACCTCAATCAGTGACAAGATGAGAGAAAGTTGACTGAGAAGGTTTCATCATGCACAGACAGCCAATGATGACAAAAAATGCACATAGATGGCTAATGTCTACTCCAATGAGCAATGGGCATCTCATCTTGTCCAGAAAAAAAAAAAAAAAAATTATCAATAACAGAAATCTTTATTAATGAATAATACTTGTGAAAATTAATTACAGAAAATGGGGAGGTAAGCTATCTTAACTCCCCAACATCAAGATGGCAACAAAATACTAAAAATGTGCCCAAAACAAAGAATCCTTAGCCACCCCTTGCTTAGCTAGCCCATCAGCCATTGAGTTAGCACTTCTCTTCACCCAGCTGTATTGCACCTCCAAGTCCTTACACAGCCAATTAAATTTTTTCTTCTCATTGTTGTAGCTCCACAAACCGCTGATATCTCCTTTCGGCCACCTAATCACCAATTGGCCCAGAGAACTGCTAGAATTTCGGCTCCAACTAAGCATCTAATGCTTAATTCTCTTGCTCTTTGGATTCCTTCAAAAACTGCTAGAATTTCGGCTCTAAGAGAGTCACCCTCTCCAATTGGCCCAGAGAACAAGGCAATAATATACCCCTCCTCATTCCTGAAAACGCCCCCAATCCCAGAGGGCCCTGGATTCCTTAAGCTACATCCATCAAAATTCAGTTTTACGAATCCGGCGGGAGGGGGGGTCCAAGTGGGGCTACAGTTCCTTTTATACATAACAGCAAATAGCAACCTCTTTCCACTTTCTCAGCATGTCTGCCATAGAGAATTCAGAGAATATCTCCATTGATTTCAGCTAATGAGCAACCCTTGAAAGTATCAAATCTGTTAGGTTTTCTGTGGTTCTTTCCTTATCTGAAAAAATTCGTGAATTTCTTTCTTCCCATATTGACCAGCACACTACAGCCCTAATGCTTCTCCACATGATCTTCCCCCTTCTCTTAGGCCAACTAAAGAAAGAAGGAGAGAACAAGCATTGCACACTCACAGGGGGATTCCAAGTATACCCAAAAAGGGAAACACCCACTCCCAAACAGTCTTAGTAACTGGACAAGTAACCATAATATGATAACCCGTTTCCCCATCAGCATTGCAAAGAATACACCTATTGGGAAGTAAACAGCAGTTGGGCCTCTTTCTTTGAAGCAAGTCATTTGTGTTAACTCTTTCCAGGAAAATTTCCCAACAAAAACTACCAACCCGAGGAGGAATGGGTTTGCTCCAAATCTCTTTAACCGGGAATGACAGCCCAAGCAGAGTAGTAGGTTGGACCAATGTCTCAAAAAACGAAGCACAAGAGAAAGAGCCGGATGAAGAAGGGGTCCAGATTCTGGTGTCTCCCTTACTAGGGTTCAAGAAAACATTTTCAAGGATGGTTAGCAAAGATGACATACACCCCAAATCTATATCCCTTATTGCCCTTCTCAACCCCAGATTCCACCCAAACCCAGAAGAAGAATAAGAAGGAACCAAGAATGAGGAAATGGGTTCATTTTTCAAATCTGACAAAGCAAACAATGATGGAAATTGGTCTTTCAGGGGTAGGTCCCCAACCCCAATTTGCTCCCAGAATTTTATTCGATTACCAGAGTTCAAATCATACCTGATCCAAGGGGAGAAAACTGGAAGCATATCATAAATGGCTTTCCACAGAGATGCGGCAGTAATCCTGGCCAAAATTCTAGGATCCCAGTCATTCTCATCCAACCCATATATGCTAGCCACAATCTTCGTCCACAATTTGTCCCTTTCCAACGGGAATCTCTACAACCATTTCCCCAATAATGCCATGTTCCTTTTCCTGATATTCCCATTCCCAAGCCCCCTAGCTTCTTGCTCCTATTTACCACTTCCCACCTCACCCTATGGTCTTTCTTCTCCACTCCTAGTTCCCATAAAAAATCCCTCATTAATTTTTTTATCCTGTTGAAGACCTTTGTAGGAATCTTAAACATTGACATGAAGTAAATAGGAAGGTTGGAAAGGGTAGACCTAATCAAGGTGATTCTCCCCCCAAGAGAAAGATAATTTTTCCTCCAAGAAGCAAGCCTTTTCTCAAATCTCTCTACTATCGGGTTCCAAAAGCTTTCATTCTTGGATTTATCTCCTAGGGGGAGGCCCAAATAAGTGATGGGCCACTCCGAGATAGCGCACCCTAACACACCTGCACAATCACTTACTTCCCTTTCCTCCAAATTCACTCCTACCACACAACTCTTATCGAAGTTCACTTTAAGATTAGACATCTGCTCAAAGAGTTGTATTGTCAGTTTTAGGTTTCTAATCCCTCTTATATCCCCACCCTCACAAAATAGGATTGTGTCATCTGCAAACTGCAAGTGTGTAAGTGGTACTTCCCCCCTTTCGACTCTCCAACCTTTTTATCAAGTCTCTAGAACCAGCTCTATGTATCAGTCTCCCCAGGACATCTGCAATCAGAGTAAAGAAAAAGGGGGAGAGCAGATCACCTTGTCTTATTCCTCTCATGGCCGGAAAGCAATCCACCGCAGTTCCATTCACCAATATCGAGTAATGGCAACTCCTGATACAACCCCAGATCCATCTACACCATCTGTCTCCAAAACCAAAACTTTTCATTACCTCCACCAAGAAGGACCAGTCAACTATGTCATAAGCCTTCTCTAAGTCTAGTTTGCAAACCACTCCTTTTTTCTTGGATTTCCTAAAATTCTCTAAGCTCTCATTTGCAATCAAAATTTGACCAATGATGTGCCTTCCCTTCACAAAAGCTCCTTGATTGGGTGTGATAATGGCTGGAAGAACTTTCTTAATTCTTAGAGACAAGACTTTTGCAATTATCTTGTACAGACTATTCACCAAACTAATCGGCCTGAAATCCCTTGGATGTGATGCCTCTTTCTTCTTAGGAACCAATGCAATGAATGTGGAGTTTAAACCCGGATTAATGATTCCCCTCCTGTGGAACTCCTCAAAAACCAACACTAGGTCCTTCTTCACAATGTCCCAACAATCCTGATAAAATGCCAATGTAAATCCATCTGGGCCTGGAGCTTTCGCTCTATCCATTGAAAATAATGTTTCCTTTCATCTCCTCTAAGTCAAAGTTTTTCTCTAACCCCACTCTGGTTTCTAAACTAAGAGTTGGACATTCCAGCCCCTCCACCCGAATCCTCTCATTTACAGGCCTTCCAAAAATTGATTTAAAATGGGTTGCAAAAGCCTCTGCTATTTTTGCTGGTTGGGAAAGAACAGCTCCATCAACTTCTAGCTTAGAAATGATATTCTTCCTTCTTCTAGTGTTTGCCACAGAGTGAAAAAATCTAGTGTTTCTGTCTCCCTTTTTTAACCATTTACATCTAGACTTTTGTCTCCAACTTATCTCTTCCTGCAATAAGAGATCCTCCAACTACTTTCTAGCCCTCCATCTCAATTCTCTGTCTTCTTCTTCAAAAGAACCCCTTTCCTCCTTCGAGTCCAGATCCTCAATTTGCTCCATTAAAATCTTCTTTCTTTCCTCCACTCTTCCAAATTCCAGACGGTTCCACTCCTTTATTTGAGATTTTAGGAATTGAATCTTTTTGTGGAATCTCATCCCCTCCCATTCAACTGACGGATTGTGTTGTTCCCACCATTCTTTGATCTTCTCTATGAATCCCGGATGGATTAACCACATATTCTCAAACCTAAAGGGAATAGGTCCACCTCCTCTTAAGTCCTCCTTAACAACACTATAGGCCAATGGTCAGAAATGAGTCTAGGGAGTGCTCTAGAATTTAGGTTCCCCCAATGCTCCTCCCAATCTGTTGAGAACAAGAATCYATCTAACTTAGAGCAGATTGGGTTAGATTGAAGGTTGGACCAAGTGTAGATATTGCTTTGGATCGGGAATTCCTTAAGCTCAAAAGTATCCACAAATTGATTGAAATTTCTCATGCTGGTTGTCACTCTCTGTCTGAGATTGTTGGTTTCCTCCGTGAATCTTACTACATTAAAGTCCCCCCACACACACACACCAAGGTCCTTCCCATAGGCCCCTAATATCACTCAATTCTTCCTATAACCTCTTCCTCTTCCTAGTCATTGGGGCCATATACATTTGTTAGTACCCATTCAAAACAACTTCCGCCTGCCTGAATTTCATAGAAATTAAATAATCCCCTATCAGTTCTTCCAAATCTACCACCACATCTTCCTTCCACAATGTTATGATCCCATCCAAGGCTCCCCAAGATGGAGTAGCCACCCACTTTATCCCTTTAGAACTCCAGACACTTCTTGCCCATCTACTATCAAAGTCCATTCTCTTGGACTCCTGAATTAACACCACATCCGGATTGAACTTCCTAATTACTTCTTTGATTGTTGCTCTCTTCCTTGCATTACCCAATCCCCTCACATTCCAGCTTAGAATTCTCATCTCAACTTTAAAATTTAACCCTAAAAAACCACCAAATATCTATTTGAACCCTTTCCTTCTATCTCCTCTCATCCCAAACTTATTATCCCCCTCGATATCTCTCTTTAATCTCTCCACTTCACTCAATTTTCTTTTCTTAATCTTGCTCTCCTCCTTTCTTTTTATTAGGGAAACTTTTAGATCATTTACCAGGGAAACTTTTAGAGCATTTGATAGTTGCAAATGCTCCCCCCAAGAATAGATAAGAAATTACCAGGTAGACTTGTTTTGGTGTTTGTCATCACTGTCTCGTAAATTAGAAAATGTGTTGTTATACATGAACACGGGATGATAGGAAGCCATTAGCCAGCAAATAGATGCGTTCCGCATCATAGAGGGGATGATGTTCTATGTATTAGCCTTTTGTAATGAATAAAATTTTGAGGAATTCAGCATATATACATCCAGAAAAGAGAACGTGTTTTTTATTGGTAACAAAAAGATGAGATTTTATATATGCATTGGAATAAGTGGGGGCATATGGATGGTAATAGTAAATCTTCAATTAGACCAACAATAGAAGCTTCCTTGGTAATCTAATCTGCACTCTGCAGCTTTACTAGGCCTAGCCTATAAAAATAACAGAACTACACAAGAAGCAATATTCCATATACCATTTTAAAATAATTCCTAGCTAACTAAGCAAAAAAGGTAGCCAAAATCCCAGGTGAAATAGAGAATGTCTCCATTAGTACATGCTAAGAATGTCAAACAGACAGAACCTTCAGCCTTAAGTGGAAAAACAAATCCACGTCCAGAGATGCCACTGCACTTTCTTTTTAGATAAAGGAACAAAGAGAAAGTTTTGACGTTACCAGCTCACGAATTTCAGCACTAAACCCAAGTTCCAAAAGGCGATCTGCCTCATCAAGGATCAGAACTGCAAGATCTTCCAAGCCCACAGACTGAGAATTACGCAGATGATCTATCATACGCCCTGGAGTGGCCACAACAATATCTGGCATTGATCTCAAGGCTGCCTCTTGCATCTGAACCAAAGATACCATGGTATAAATTTTAATGGAAATTTAAAAACCTAAAATAGTATGATCCATCAAAAAACCATAAAATAGTATGGGAACCAATCAAGCAGCGCCCTCCAAACATGAAAGCAATGCGGGAGCACATCTGAAATTCTGAAGCAGAAAGTAATATAATATCTGACAACCTAACAATCAATAGAAGACATCTTACCAAAATAAAACACTATTGCTTTCAAGTTACCAAATTTGACTGTATTGTTATTTATCAATTAAATTGTTGTATATTAAAGAAACAATTTCTAAAATCATGTAGAGAAATTCCAATAAAAATCATTGGTTCTCAACATACCAACAACCACCAAGAACTGAAATAAATAGAACAATGTTACAATGCCTAGAAGAAAATGAAAAATGATAGTACGTAATTGGCATCTAAACATGTTGAACCAACCTTAGCCAAAAAGTAGCCTACTCCATTCTCTCTTTGCAGTATCAAACACATCAACACAAAAAGTTTAGAAACAAACCTTTGTTGAGAGACCACCAACAACCAGGCAACATCTGATATCAGTAAATTGTGCAAGCTTCTCTATCATACTATGAACTCTGTCAAAAGAAACAAAGAAGAAAACTAGTACTGATAGAATGGAAATATAAATTATATTTAAGAGATAGAACAATAAGGTAAAATTAGACATATAAAACCAAAAAGATAATCTAATGAGAGGAGAATGCAATGTTGAAAAAAAAACAATCTAACCTGTACAAATCCTTGAAAAATAATTTGCCATGGTTTACAAAACAAAAGCAGAAGTCGATCTAGCAGTGGAGAAGCATGTTGAACTAAAGGATTGTTAAGATCCCTGCTAACAAGTCTCGCTATTCATATTTGTATACAGAAGTTAAGGTTAAATCACTCTTCTAATACAAAGAGTAATAGGTGATGAGCATTAGGGGCCAAGAATAGAATCTGGGGTAGAGATTAAACGATAAGAGCAATAATCAGTAACGGAGCATAAGTAATATCAAAACAGAAGACCATATGCCTAAAAGATCTGCATTTTACTTTCCCTATAGAACAGTAAGGCAATTAGCCCAAACCAGTGAATAGCAATAGCCTAAAAGCCCTAAACAATGCAATGAAGTAAATTTGTTGTTAAATTTCAAGCTTGAAGACAATAAATCATTGTTGGGAATCTTGAGGATAGAGTATACTTTCTTCATAGAGGGTTTTTACTGCTTAAAAAAACACAAAAAAAAGCCGATTAGAAATGAACCAATATTTTAACACCTTACGCCCCCTTCCCCACCCCAATGCAACAAAAGTTATCTCCAGAGTGACAGCCTAAAGATAGGGTTCTGGATAAAGTTAACTAGAATGGAGGTCTGCCAAAGAACTGCAAGAAGGTTGGAATTTGTAGTTTCTACCAATCTGCAAGTTATGTAGGTTTTTCAATTTCTTCCTATTTGCAAAACCTTTTCCATGCACCAATAGTGGTATAAGAGAACTCCCAAATGCAATCCATTTATCTTGTATTTTGATTTGAAAAAGGCAGAAACTGGACTTTGTGTTAGCCTTGTTAGATAATATTTGATATTTCACAACGCCTCTGAATTTTCTTTTACTCCACAAGGGATGATAATCTAGCAATTCTAATCTTCCAAGTTAAATATCTACATTGTTCTAAATTGAGACCAACATCGTTTTGTTATTCTTTCTTATTATACTCTTGTATTTCTTTTCTTTCTTGTTCAACCATTTGATCTCCTGAACAAGTAAAAAGGGTTGACTCATGCATATAAATTAACAATTAAAGAAACCTTAGTTGATCAAAAATTACATAAACGCATACATAAGTATTCACAAGTAATTAACTTTGCTTATACAAATGTATAGCTAGCTTCAAACAAAAATAGAAGTTTGTCTACAGAACATCTGAATGATATGATTTCCATTGATAGAGCAAACCATAGAGAAATAAACAGATAAATAGATAACTTACTGTACAGCCAATTCCCTAGTGGGAGTTAGAACTAGGACCCTTATTGCATGTACACGTTTGGGGCGGAATAGCAATCTCTCCAACACAGGTAATGTGAAAGCAGCCGTCTACAATGAGATAATAATAAAAAAATGTAAAATACCAATACTGTTTCCAATGACTAAAGTGACTAGTGACATGACAAGCATACCTTTCCAGAACCAGTTATAGCACTTCCGCAGATATCACGCCCAGTTAACGCAAGAGGTATGCAGGCTGCCTACAAATAAAAACGCTTAAACTTTTCAAGAGGAGCAATAACGGATACATAAAATCAAAGAACTACATTAAAAGTTAGCTCGAAAAAGAAAAAAAAATAACCTGAATCGGTGTTGGCTTATGGTACCCTAATGCTTCACAAGCTCGAAGCAGTGGACGAGAGAGATTAAGCTCCATGAATGAATTCGCATGGAACGAAGCCCCATCCGAAGGCGCAAAGAAGGACTTACTGTCCCTAACATTCTTATCATCGTCGCCTTCTTCAGGCTTGTAGTTTTCCTGCACAACAAAACTTCACATGAAATCTGGTCTTAAACTAATGCGCTTTACCAGTTAACAAAAAAAGGCAACAATCTTACTTGCTTATCTGGTTCGTATTCAGCGCTATCGTCGTCGCTGTGATTGAGTAGCGGGATTGCACATTCTTCGCGGGCTCTGGAGATCTTGAAATCTATGGAAGTTGTGCTCCTTCGCGTATGCTCTTCGGCGACTGATTCAGAGTATGCAGAAAATTCCCATGGAGATTGAGATTTTTGTGTTTCACTTTCTTCCTCTTCCACGTTTTCGAGCTCTTCGTCACTAGGGGCTTCGAATACAAAATTTGCATCCATGGATCAACCGAAGACGGTGAGCAAAATGGTTTCGATTTTTGCAGTTAAGAGTTTGATAGAAGGGTTTGGGAAGGGTTTTAGTCTTTTTGCACCTCGGACAGTCGGACGGCGCTTGTACTAGTAAATCTTGGGCCGGGTTTTATCGACCAAAATTTACCCAGCCCCGATTTATCTGGGCTGACCTTGCTTGAGCTTCGAATCCTATACCGAGTTCGGGGCCTTCGGACTAGGTACAGGCGAGATCGGATTTACTCCTCACTTAAGCGCGTCTCACACCAACCTTACAGCGCATCGCAGCCGTGCATCGATAACATTTTTCGTACTTGATGTTATCTATATATAATGGATATTTTCTCAATAAAATCTACTAGTGAGAATAGATTGACCGTTTCACGTGTAAGCAGCTTGTGCGTGCGTGTAGATACAAAGAGATGCCACAATAAGCTGCTTGAGCTCCATGATGGGCGCAAAGTCATCGAAACCATCGATGACCAAACCAGTTTCTGTTTCCACGGGATAAAATGGCACACGAGCCTCTTCAGTTGATCTCAATCCAACCATCTTCGTCCCTCTTCAATCTCCCAGCCATGGGATAGAACGGCACAAGAGCCTTGCTTAGAGCTTCCTTGAGCACTTTCCAATCGACGAAATTGTTCGAAGCCGAACTGCTAGAGTTCCACTAGGTCCACTTTAGAGTTCCACAGTCTTTGTTGCGGCGTCTCCTCTGTCAGATGCACCATAGTCGACCCCTTCATGCTGATAATCATCTTCTTCGGCGTCGTCTGTCAGTCACCTCACCTGAAAGTACCCATCAATGAGCCACAGTGTTTTAGCGCCACCCGTGTTAGCCCACTGGCTATTATGTGTTGTATGGACCCACAACTGAAAATCTCGTATATTACTATTACAGATTTTTCATTTTAAGCCAAGTGAGATCTGATAAGGTTTTTCATGATTTTCCGGAATTATAATTTACAGGAAAGGAGTGATAAAGAAGACAAAGAGGAAGAAAACAAATCTGAGAAGAAGAAGAAGAAAGGGTGCGTAGATTACCTGCGACGAGAGACGGAGATAATCGCCTGATGGGTGAATTGGAAGAGACTCAAACCGTGAGAGAGAGAGGAGAGGGATTCTCTAGTTTGGGGATTGGTGAGAGCTTCCTATTTAAGAAAGGGACTATATACTTGGTCTTTAACTCTACGATTTTTCCTTACATATTTATTTTAATATTTTATTCTTCCACTATCCATGGGGGTACACAATGGGGATAGTCCATCTCCCAAATAACCACCCAAAGTAGGTTTTGGCGGATTCAATTGTTTCCACTCCAACTAGCACGATACCCTACCAACCTATTCTTGCAATATATATGCAATATAAGTAATATATAATTTATAATTATATCATATATGTAATATATATTATTTTTATATTTAAATAATAATTTTAGTTTTAAAATAAATATTTAAGTTAAAATTTTGAAAATTGAGGCTGAAATTTTTTTTTAATGAAAAATAGTGGGACAAAGCACATTAGGACACATAGATATCAAAAAGTTGCCCATAAAAGAGATCACCACATTCGGACAACCAAACACAAAATTATGGCATATGTGAGCTTGCATATAAAGATCGATTATTGGGTCGAATGGTCCAACCATTCGAACCAAATGGGTGACCAATTATGACAACAACAAACAAATAAAAAAATCGCTAAAACCGTTGGACGGTTCAACCACCTAGGTCAGCGGTTTGTTGACCAAATCAATGGTTTTTGGCAAAATAACGATTTTGGGGTAAAACGAAATCGGTTCCCAGTTTTCCGCTCCAACCATCCGATCTAATTCAGTTTTGAAAACCACGGACCCAATGATCAGTTGAACGGTTTTGATCAAATCAACGTTTTCTTGAACAAATTCCGAGTTTTAAGAGAACTGAACTTTAGATAATGGCAGGATGATGGTTTGAATAGTTTGGCCATCAATGATGGGTTTAAAATCACTTTTGTAGGAAATAAAAATAAATAAAAAATGAAATAAAAATAAAAATAAGGAAATTTTTCGATTAATACCATGTTCTTTGTGTCTAATGTCACTTTGGTCCCCGAACTTTAAAATGCAACAATTCAATACCCGAATGCTCAAAATATGACAATTCAGTACCTGTCATTAATCATCAATTAGCCTGACGTTAAGTGACACTTGAAAATGACACAAATGCCCTTTAGTCTACTTTTTCTCATTTTATCACCTATTGGAGCCACTCCTAAGTGTCTACAAATGACTTCATTTATGATCCTATCTTTTTTAGTTTTTTTTTGCTCATCCATCTCATCATACACATTTATCCCACACTCATTTCATAAAATTCTAGATGTGCCTCTCCATTTCGTCCATCCAGCTCTAATTCTATGGATAACATCCTCCTCAATCTCTTCCTTGTCATGAATTATCAAACCAATGTATCCAAAAAAGTCATATTGAGTTTTGTGTTGGTTTTCAATACTAAGGCTCAGTTTGGAATGGGTACAAATACAAATATGTAGAGTGCAAAACCTTGTATTTTGTACTGTACATATTTGTATTTGTACTATTTCCAAACTGGGCCTAAATGTACCCTGGTTTGCACTCACATTGTTGTTAAGCTTACATGCCATATATTCTATTATAGTCCTAATTAATTTAAAACTTCCTGTTTCTAAGCCATTTTGCATTACCGTAATGTAAATCACAAGATGAATAAATACGAAACACTCGATTAATGAAATCAATAACATGAAGCAATTTTTCATTTTTCAAGTGAAGCATTGGATTTAAGTACTAAATTACTCAATTTTTCATTTTTCATTTTCAAGTGGAGCATTGGCTTTCATTTTTCATTTTGCATTCGCTTTAAGTACTAAATTACATATATGACATAATTATAAATTATATATTACTTATATTGCAAGGTGACAATTAATAGGTTAGTAGGGTCTCCTGTTAGTTGGAGTTGAAACAATTGAATCCGCCTAAACCTACGTTGGGTGACTATTTGGGAGATGGACTATCCCCATTGTGTACCCCATGGATAGTGGAAGAATAAAATATTAAAATAAATATGCAAGTAAAAATCCTAGACTTAAAAGACCAAGTATATAGTCCCTTTCTTAAATAGGAAGCTCTCACCAATCCCCAAACTAGAGAATCCCTCTCCTCTCTCTCTCACGGTGTGAGTCTCTTCCAATTCACCCATCAGGCGATTATCTTCGTCTCTCGTCGCAGGTAATCTATGCACCCTTTCTTCTTCTTCTCATATTTGTTTTCTCCCTCTTTGTCTTCTTTATCACTCATTTCCTGTAAATTATAATTCCGAAAACAACCTTCTCAGATCTCAATTGGCTTAAAATGAAATATCTATAATAGTAATATGCGAGATTTTCAGTCATGGGTCCATACAACACATAATAGCCAGTGGGTTAACACGGGTGGCGCTAAAACACTGTGGCTCGGTGATGGGTACTTTCAGGTGAGGTGACTGACAAACGACGCCAACGAAGATGATTATCAGTGTTAAGGAGTCGACTATGGTGCACCCGACAGAGGAGACACTGCAACAAAGCTTGTGGAACTCTAAAGTGGACCTGGTGGAACTCTAGCGGTTCGGCTTCAGCCAATTTCGTCGATTCGAAAGTGCTCAAGGAAGCTCTGAGCAAGGCTCGTGTGCCGTTCTATCCCATGGAAGCATAAACTGGTTTAGTACGGAAACGGTCAATCTATTCGCCCATCATGGAGCTCAAGCAGCTTATTGTGGCATCTCTTCGTATCTACACACTCGCACAAGCTGCTTGCACGTTAAACGGTCAATCTATTCGCACGAGTAGATTTCATTGAGAAAAGACCCATTCTGTCATAAGTATATATAGATAACATCAAGTACGGAAAATGTTATCGATGCATGGCTGCGATGCGCTGTAAGGTTGATGTGAAACGCGCTTAAGTGAGGAGTAAATCCGATCTCGCCTGAACCTAGTCCGAAGGCACCGAACCAAGTTCACTTGTTAGACTTGGTTACATCCTATTGAATTTCCTATAAACGCTAGGAAATGAACTTTTTCAATTTCCTATTATTTTAGTAGCAGTACGTCCCTAACTAAGTTCTATAGTTTGTGACCAACATATTCCATATTGTTTTATTATTTTAGTAGCAATACTATAAACGCTAGGAAATGAAACTTTTTCAATTTCCTATTATTTTAGTAGCAATACGTCCCTAACTAAGTTCTTTAGTTTTTGACCAACATTATTCAAACTTTCCAGTATAAGTTCGCCTGAACCTAGTCTGAAGGCCCCGAATTGGGTATAGGATTAGCAGCATCTGCTAAGAAAATTAAACTTTTTCAAATAAAAATTATATTTCTAAGGTTCCAAATATCCAAAGGAACAATAACATCTATCCAAAGAGTAATAGAATTTGCTGATAAATTCCCTGACGAAATTAGAAATAAAACTCAGTTCTAGAGATTTTTAGGTAGTCTAAATTACGTGGCAGACTACTATAAAGAAATAGCCCATGATCGACAATTGCTTGAAAAGAGATTGAAAAAGAATCCCCCATAATGGAGTTGATAAAAAGAACAGTTGATAAACCTCATATGCAAAACTCTATTTGATTTTAGATGGTATGAAGATGTATCCTATCCAAAGTGCATAGGATTTTGTATTATAATTATTCTTACGGATATCTAATCCAAATAGTAAATCAATTAGGATTAGAAGTATGCAATGACATGAAAGTCAATACACAAGCTAAAAAGGAAAGACTCAATTATAAAAGAGAATTGAGAGACTTTTGCTACCCGTTCAGAATAGCTCCCGAACCAATTAGCTCCTAGGATGATTCCAAAGAAAAAGAAAACAAATTTTTACAAAAAAGAAAAGAAGTCCCATAAGCACCCTAAGAGGTTTTCTAATGTAAAAAAGCCAAAACCTCCAACCCGTTTTAAATGTGGAAATACAGGTCATTATGCCAATAAATGTTTCCAAAATAAAACAACCACTAAAAAACTGAAATGAACTAGAAGAAGAAGAAGGTGAGACAGAGGTCTCAACAAGAGAATCCTCTACCTCTTCGGAGGAAGAGTGTACTAAGGAACTATGTACATGCAAAAGCAAATTAGATACTTTTGAAGAAGAGTTAGAAGAACTCAACATGTTAAGCATAGATGAGGAATGTCTCTTAAAAATACTCAATGAAATTTCTAATAAGGAATTAAAGAAAAAATACTTGCTAACAGCCTTGCAAAGTCAAACTGAAAAAGGTTAAAAGGGAGAAACCGAAACAGCCAATCGACGGTAAAAACATAATATCTTATAGATAACTAATTAGAATAACTCGATCAGAAGCATCTAGACCCCTTACAATAGAGGAGTTAAGGGAATAAGTCAATTTACTGAAAAAATATCTAAAACCCCTCAAATTAAGGGTAGACCAATTAGAAGCCAAAAGATTTTGAAAAAATCAATCAAAGAAATCATCGGAATATGTTTCCGCTAAATTTATTGGAAATGACTGTAGTAGCCTTAATAGACTCATTCGCGTATATTAAATGTATTATATAAGGGATTGTACATTCTAAATATTTTGAAAAAACAACCCAACAAGTTAATGAGCGGATGTAAGGAGATTGGAAATAAAATATAAGATTCTAGTAGCCCGTATTTTCAACTAAAAGGAACTTGCGTTAAAGTCCACTTTCCTTATGGTAAAAGACTTGATGCAAGAGGTCATGGGAACTCCATTCTTATTAGCCAAGGTCCAAAAAGACTAAAACCCTTCTATCTAACTCTTAACTGCAAAAATAAAAACCATTTTGCTCACTGTCTTCGGTTGATCCATGGATGCAAATTTTGTATTCGAAGCCCCTAGTGACAGAGAGCTCGAAAACGAGGAAGAGGAAGAAAGTGAAACACAAAAATCTCAATCTCCATGGGAGTTTTCTGCATACTCTGAATCAGTCGCCGAAGAGCATGCGCGAAGGAGCACAACTTCCATAGATTTCAAGATCTCTAGAGCCCGTGAAGAATGTTCAATCCCGCTACTCAATCACAGCGATGACAATAGCACTGAATCCGAACCAGATAAGCAAGTAAGGTTGTTGCCTTTTTTTGTTAACTGGTAAAGCGCATTAGTTTAAGACCAGATTTCATGTGAAGTTTTGTTGTGCAGGAAAACTACAAGCCCAAAGAAGGCGATGATAATAAGAATGTTAGGGACAGTAAGTCCTTCTTTGCACCTTCGGATGGGGCGCAAAGAAGTTGGCGATTTGTGATGTGATCGCAGGAAGGGAAGACAGAAGCTGTGCAGAGAGACAAGAGAGAGGTTGCGTGTGGAAAATCGCTGAGGATGCTACCGCGTACGGTACACTACACCCAATTTATGATTAAAGAGTATCAAACACACCTTCCTGCTGCTGGTGTCAATGCAAATGTAATTGGGCTGCCCGCTGTACCTACCCGAACCGGTCCGGTTGGATCCTTTTCTCATCAGTTGGGCCAAATTTTACGGGCGATGGGCCGAAAATGGCAAGAGGGCAGGTTCGGAGAGGGTTTTGTGCATTTAAGACTACTTTCTTCCTTATACCTCTCAGCTCGTATCCTTTCCAAAACCATAATGGATTCATTTTTTATGGGTGTTTGACCTGATGCATTTCACAAACGGGATGCAAATTGATTAGGCATTTAAAGTGATTTGACTTAATATTATAATATATTTGTAATGATAATTGTGTGAGATTTACTAAAAATAGTTAGCTTTTTTCAAATTTTGATGTATCATCTTATCGAGGCAAGAAATGCCAAATTTGCATTTAAAGAAACCCCTCCTTTTCTAAATCCCAAAACTAATCATTACAAAAATGTTTTTTCAATAAACAGGATCGCCAAATATAATTTTCCGTAACTCGGACCGATTGGACCAGCTCGATGAATTGGCTCTGGGTCTTAAAAAAAATTCCCAATTACTATCAGGCCAAAATCGGATCCACCTTGTCCTGAACCGATTTGGACCCGATCCTATATATATAATTCATATATGCCATATTTAAATAAGATGGGGCTATGTGTCATTTCCGTAGGGTTTCTTTCAAAACCCTACCGAAATGCTGCCCACAACCCCCTAACTGTCTAACCCTTTTCGTTTTTGTCTTTCTGATGAGTGAACTAAAAAGACTGGTCTTTCTTCTTTCACTCTTTCTCTGAATCTCTTCTCAATTCTCATTTGAAACTTGGAAAGTTGACAGAGGAAGTTTTATCTAGACCTTCTGGTGACTTAGTGACTCTGGTTCGATCTATCTCATCATCTAGAGAGTGGAGGCTGAGGGCTGAAAGCACATCGGTCATCGCACAACACAATCAACACTACAGTCGTTCGTCCGTCCATCAACAGTAAGTAGTAACTCCCTTTGTTACCCAATGGTCAATGACAAACTGAAATGTTGATTTTTTTTATTGTGAAATCTTCGGTCTTCCTATTATTTAAATATTTTGATTTTTTTTTTTATTGTTAAAATGTTAGATTGATTTTTTGATTGTCAAAAAACTAAAATGTTGCACGTTGGATTTTTAATGGGTGTTTCATCTACCTGCTTATGGAGTTATTGTCAACAATTTTTTTGAATACTTAACCTGTTGTTTGAATTAGTTATTTATCTCTAATCAGTGAACTGATTCTAATTGGTGATTAGTAGTTTTTCAATTAAACTTGTGTTTATCATAAGTGATAAATAAAGTAACTATTATTTTAGCAGGTTCTTTATTGTTTTTTAGCAGGGTTTTCGTTGCATTTTAGGCTTTTATAGGGTTTTTATTGCATTTTTAGTACGGATAGTATTAGCATGCATAGCATAATCGGGTCCATCGGGTTGGGCCCGACTGTCCCAATAACCGAACAGTCTGTTTCCAGTAATTCTGCATACGACGATCGCGAGGATGTCGAAGCCCTTCTAAACCTAAGTTCTATAGTTTCATCTTGTTCACTGATAATTGAGGCTAGTTTAGTAGATTCAATAGGACTTAGGGGCTCTGCTTTAGCAAGTGACCAACTTTCCGGCATCTTCACTTCACTCCAAGTGATCTGCCTAGGAATCGTAACATTATTCCTAGTGTTGGTCAGGAAGAGGGTAGTCATTCCCCTGCTTCATGTAATCCTGGTATTAGGACAGATTGTATTCATGATCTTAAAGTATACTCTGCATACTAGTGCTATATTCTCGGATCCTGGTTTCATGTCGAAACCTTGGGTCTGAATCCTAAGGGTTAAGGCTTCATGGATGCCCGAATCTTTTAGTGAAACCGAGAAATTTGGATAGGCATTAAAATAAATTGGCCCTTGGTGGAGGCTATCTTCTGTTACTCCTAATAAGGAGTCACTGAATTTATTATGTCTAGAATCGGTTAAACAGGCTAAGGCTGCTGTTTGTAACCCGGTTCTGGTTAATGGTTTAATGGCGACTTGTATTAAGCCAAAGTGTATAAAATTGCAGTCACTCTTTCTTCTATAGGTTTCTATTACATTCTTGTCTACTAGGGAAAAGCTTTATGCTTCGTTTCCTAGTGCAATGGTTCTTTCTATAGTTCTAACATTTAGATCTGTTTTTAAACTAAATATTCATTTTTTATATATTTCTGAAGGTGCACAAAATCTGCTTGTAAGTGATCTGAACATATTCCATCTTGTTCACTGATAACCTGGCAAAGCATTATCAGATCCTTTAATATATTTAATATCAAAATCAAACATCGATAAGATAGCTTGCCATCTAGCAAAAATCTGTTTTGAAACCAGGTTTTTTACATATTTTTCCAAAATTTCTTTGGCGGATTTGCAATCATTTTGGAGAGTAAAATGTTGGTTTATCAATTCACTTTGAAATTTAGTGATGCAAAGGACGATACTGGGCATTTCTTTTTTGACGGCATTTCTTTTTTGACAGTAGAGTATTTTTTCTGGGTGTCATTCCAGGTTCCTGAGGCAAACCGGATTATCTCATTTATTCCCATTTCTCCTTTGTTTTAGGATTCCTTCATATCCTATCTCACTGGCATCAGTCTCTACTATCTTAGGATACCCTGGATGAGGGATGTTAAGGCAGGGGAGAGTTTTTACCCTTTGTTTGATCTTCTGGACTGTTTGGGTAAATTGCTCACTCCATTCTGGAGGATTCTTTTTCAATCTCTTTTCAAGCAATTGTCGATCATGGGCTATTTCTTTATAGTAGTCTGCCACATAATTTAGACTACCTAAAAATCTCTAGAACTAAGTTTTATCTCTAATTTCGTCAGGGAATTTGTCAGCAAAATCTATTACTCTTTGGATAGGTGCTATTGTTTCTTTGGATATTTGGAACCCTAGAAATCTAATTTCTGTTTGAAAAAGTTTCATTTTCTTAGCAGATGCTGCTAATCCTATACCCAGTTCGGGGCCTTCGGACTAGGTTTAGGCGAACCTATACCGGAAAGTTGGAATAATGTTGGTCAGAAACTATAGAACTTAGTTTGGGACGTACTGCTACTAAAATAATAGGAAATTGAAAAAGTTTCATTTCCTAGCGTTTATAGTATTGCTACTAAAATAATAGAACAAGGAATATGTTGGTTAGAAACTATAGAACTTAGTTAGGGACGTAATGCTACTAAAATAATAGGAAATTGAAAAAGTTCATTTCCTAGCGTTTATAGGAAATTCAATAGGACGTAACTAAGTCTAACAAGTGAACTTAGTTAGCATTGGTAAGCAACTTGCTTGAGCTTTGAATCCTATACCGAGTTCGGTGCCTTCGAACTAGGTTCAAACGAGATCGGATTTACTCCTCACTTAAGCGCGTCTCACACCAACCTTATAGCGCATCGCAGCCGTGCATCGATAACATTTTCCGTACTTGATGTTATCTATATATACTTATGACAGAATGGATCTTTTCTCAATGAAATCTACTCGTGTGAATAGATTGACTGTTTCACGTGCAAGCAGCTTGTGTGTGTGTGTAGATGCAAAGAGATGCCACAATAAGCTGCTTGAGCTCCATGATGGGCACAAAGTTACCGAAATCATCGATGACTAAACCAGTTTCTGCTTCCACGGGATAGAACAGCACAAGAGCCTTGCTCAGAGCTTCCTTGAGCACTTTCCAATCGACGAAATTGGCCGAAGCCGAACCGCTAGAGTTCCACCAGGTCCACTTTAGAGTTCCACAGGGTTTGTTGCGGCGTCTCCTCTGTCGGGCGCACCATAGTCGACTCCTTCATGCTGATAATCATCTTCTTCGGCGTCGTCTGTCAGTCACCTCACCTGAAAGTACCCATCACTGAGCCATAGTGTTTTAGCGTCACCCGTGTTAGCCCACTGGCTATTATGTGTTGTATGGGCCCACAATTGAAAATCTCGCATATTACTATTATAGAGATTTCATTTTAAGCCAATTGAGATCTGAGAAGGTTTTTCATGATTTTCTGGAATTATAATTTCCAGGAAAGGAGTGATAAAGAAGGCAAAGAGGGAGAAAACAAATATGGGAAGAAGAAGAAGAAAGGGTGCGTAGAGTATGTGTGACGAGAGACGGAGAGAATCGCCTGATGGGTAAATTGGAAGAGACTTAGACCGTGATAGAGAGAGGAGAGGGAGTCTCTGGTTTGGGGATTGGTGAGAGCTTCCTATTTAAGAAAGGGACTATATACTTGGTCTTTAAGTCTAGGATTTTCCTTGCATATTTATTTTAATATTTTATTCTTCGACTATCCATGGGGGTACACAATGGGGATAGTCCATCTCCCAAGTCCCAAATAACCACCCAACGTAGGTTTAGGCGGATTCAATTGTTTCCACTCCAACTAGCAGGAGACCCTACCAACCTATTAATTGTCACCTTGCAATATACATGCATATAAGTAATATATTTATAATTATATTATATGTAATATATATTATTTTTATATTTAAATCATATTTTTAGTTAAATATATATATATATATATATATTTAAGTTAAAAATTTGAAAATTGAGGCTGAAAGTTGTTTTTTTTAATGAAAAATAGTGGGACAAGGCACATTAGGACACATAGATATCAAAAAGTTGCCCATAAAAGAGATCACCACATTCGGACATCCAAACACGACATATGTGAGCTTGCATATACAGACCGATTATTGGGTCGAATGGTCCAACCATTCAAACCAAATGGGTGACCCATTCTGACAACAAAGAGCAAATAAAAAATAAAAAAACCACTAAAACCGTTGGACGGTTCAACCACCTAGGTCAGCGGTTTGCTGACCAAATCAATGGTTTTTGGCGAAATAACGGTTTTGGGGTAAAACGAAACCGGTCACTCGATCGGTTCCCAGTTTTCCGCTCCAACCGTTCGATTTGATTCGGTTTTGAAAACCATGGACCCAATGATCAGTTGGGCGGTTTTGATCGAATTAACGTTTTCTTGAACAAATTCCGAGTTTTAAGAGAACTGAACTTGAAATAATGGTAGGATGATGGTTTGAATAGTTTGGCCATCAATGATGGGTTTAAAATCACTTTTGTAGGAAATAAAAAAAATAAAAAAAAGGAAAATTTCCCGATTAATACCATGTTCTTTGTGTCTAGTGTCACTTTGGTCCCCAAACTTTAAAATGCAACAATTCAATACCCGAACGTTCAAAATATGACAATTCAGTACCTGTCATTAATCATCAGTTAACCTGACGTTAAGTGACATTTGAAAATGACACAAATGCCCTTCGGTTGTTATTTAATTTTCTTTACCAACCATCTAAATGTTGACAAAAAAAGGTCTCAAATCCTTACTTATTCCATTCAAGAAAGTTGGGGTGATGTTTGAGTGGGCATTCTGGTGACCCCAACTTTTTTGAATAGAAGAGGCAAGGATTTGGGACTACTAATTTTTTTTTCAATGTTTGGATAGTTGATAAAGAAAATTAGATGACTCTCGAAGGGTATTCGTGTCTTTTTAAAATGTCACTTAACGACTAATTAACAGCTAGTTAATGATAGGTACTAAAGTGTCACGTTTCGAAAGTTCGAATACCGAATTATTTGCATTTTAAAATTCGGAGAAAAAAATGACACTAGACCCAAAGTGGAGGACACTAATCGGGAATTCTAAGCTTATAAATAAAAGTCATAAAATATTAAAATTATAGCAATTCTTTGTATACATGGAGAGGCATCCTGATCTAGTGGGTGGGTCAGCTAAAACCCGAACACAACTCGGTTTAAGGAATCAAAACCACCCTAAAGCTAATTATACATACACCCGACTATAACCCGACCAAGAATTACCGAATTAGAAACAAGTTATAATAGCTTAGTTGCAGCAAAAAAAAAGTTAGAATATCTTAGAAACAAGAACCGATGAATCATGGAAAGCTGAATTTGGGTTGGGTCGAGTTGACGAATGTGCTAGGGTTGATTTTTATAAACATTGCTTAATCTCGGACTTTTTATAAACCTGAACTCTAATTGCCAAAATGCTCTCTTTTAAGTTGTCTTATTAAACTCTCTCATCGCCACTCTGGCTCTCTGTCTCTCACTCGTAGGAGTGCCAGCAGCAGTTCAACTCCCCAACGCCTATTTGCTTCAAAGGGGAATTGGTTCAGTTCAACGTCCCAATGATTTTGGTTCATCTAGAAGCCGAAATCAGAATCAATCGAAACTTTTCGCTTCTGATAAAAAGCCTCAGTCGCAGCATATGAAGAAGAAGTGAACCAAAATTAAGCCGGCAGAGAAGAAGAGGGTAAGCCTCGCTAGCGCTCTGTTTTACTCAAGGAGGCAGGAGGCTTGATTGTTGAGAGTAGGGGTTCAAGCCGCAAAGTTGCCATATTTATTCATCTGTCCGGTTGCCGCCTTGGAATTGGAGGTCGTAGAACCGTAGAAGCCATCACCTGTTGTCTGGTCATTGTTCAAAGTTTCAAACTTCCATCGCCGGTAGAAGTCGTCATCTACACTTCTGTCACATTCAGCCGATTTTCATAGTAGCATATTCATTACTCAAAGTGAGTTTCTACCTTCTTTGTAGCTCATCATTTAAATTTTCCGTCGCCCTTTCTTTCATCGCCTTTTTCTGCGAAGAAAACTGGGGCTCCGCACTTCGTTCTAGCAGTCCCAATATGTCATAACATTATTGCATTACCTACAGGAAGTTAAATCAAAGTCAGTAGTGAGTAATTTAGTACTTAAAGCCAATGCTTCACTTGAAAAATGAAAAATTGTTTCATGTTATTGATTTTATTAATCGAGTGTTTCGTATTTATTCATCTTATGATTTACATTCTGGTAATGCAAAATGGCTTAGAAACAGGAGGTTTTAAATTAATTAGGACTAAAATAGACTATATGACTTGTAAGCTTAACAACAATGTGAGTGCAAATCAGGGTACATTTATGCTCAGTTTGGAAAGAGTACAAATACAAATATGTACAGTACAAATTGATACAAAATACAAGGTTTTGCACTCTACATATTTGTATTTGTACTCATTCCAAACTGAGCCTTAGGATTGAAGACCAACACAAAACTCAATATGACTTTTTTCGATACATTGGTTTGATAATTCATAACAAGGAAGAGATTGAGGAGGATGTTGTCCATAGAATTAGAGCTGGATGGACAAAATGGAGAGGCACATCTAGAGTTTTATGAAATGAGTGTGGGATAAATGTGTATGATGAGATGGATGAGCGAAAAAAACTAAAAAGGATAGGATCAGAAATGAAGTCATTTGTAGACACTTAGGAGTGGCTCCAATAGGTGATAAAATGAGAAAAAGTAGACTAAGATGGTTTTGTCATGTGCATAGAATACCATCAACAACACTTGTAAGAAGTGATCTGTTACAAGTTGAAGGGGCTAGAAGGTCAAGGAGTAGACCAAAAAAACATGGGTTGAAGTACTAAGAAATGATTTAAGTGCCAATAATTTAACATTGGATATGACTTTAAACAGAACAGACTGCAGAACAGGATTCATGTAGCTGACCCCATAAAGTTGGGATAAAGCTTTGATGATGCTGATGCTGATGAGGGTTTACATTTTCTAATATTATGTATTGATTCTTTGGGTGGCTGGGGGTACTAGGCCAATCAATGTCTTTCATCATCTAAGCTTTATCCTAGCTACATGGGGTTGTCTACATGAATTCTGTTTAGTCACTCCGTTCTATTTAGTGCCATATCCATTGTTAAATTATGAGTGCTCCAAGCATTTCTTACTATTTCAGCCGATGTCCTTTTTTGTTTGCCCCTACCACTTCGTGCCCCTTATACTTGTAGTAGATCGTTTTTTCCCCTATCACTTCTTTTTAAACAGGTGGTGCTGTAGATGGTCTTCTATTCACACGACCTAACCATTTTAGTCTACTTTCTCTCATCTTATCACCCATTGGAGCTACTCCTAAGTTCCTTCGGATGACTTCATTTATGATCCCATTATTTCTAGTTTTCCCACTCATCCATCTCATCATAGCATTTTTGCTACACTCATTTTTGGACATGTAAATGCCATTCTTCTTTTAACAGAATTAATAAAATTGAAGTCATTCATAAAAAAATATTAATTGATTCTTAAACTTCTAGGGTCATTTTCTTTTTAAGATTTTAAGATATCTTTAAGTAACAATGTCTCACATCATATTTTAAGACATTAGCTGTGATTATGCCATTTTGGTTGTTTGGATCATTAGTTGAGTCAGTTTTGAGGAAAGTATCTAAAAAAAGGAGTCGTTTTCCCTCCATCTTTAAGTTGGTTGGTAAGTGAGTACTGAGTAGGTTGTGTGTGAAGATGGGTGTCAAAAAACCCAGTTCAGTGGCACCAGTACTTATCCATTGACTATGTGAGCTAAGCAGCAAGCATAATGTACCAGCCATGTTTTTTTTTTTTTAATTGCCTTCTAAATTGTTTTAAGTATTGTAGTAACTAACTTTTTATTTATTTTTTTTTTTGGGTTTATTGATCTATAGGAAATGGAACAAAGATTGGCAAACACTTGGCGGATGACAGTTAATGAAAAGAAGTTTATTGAGACAGCGTTACTTTCGGACCTCAGGGTTGATGGTCGTCGTCCTTTCGATTATCGTCGGTTGACTGTTAAGTTTGGGAGGCACGTATGGTTTCTAAGAACAAAATTATTGTTTTGTTAAACATGCAAATGTGTTCAACATGGTTCTTTTTTTTCCATCATATGATTCCGAATTATAGAACTGTTGTTTTGTTAATTATCTTATTGACATAACTATACAATGGGAAAATCTCAGGCTGACAAACTTGAGAATATGGGTTTGAGTTTGAGAGTGGCCATTTTGTGCAAGTAAAATGCCATAAGTGACGTCTGTATCCAGTCTACCCATCCAAATACTAGGGCTGCAACCTGGGCTGGGTTAGCTTGAACCTAAAAAAGTTGGGTTGTGTTGAAGGTTGGGTTCGTGTTCAGGTTGAAAAGTATGAACCTGACTTTGCTGATAAAAAAAGTATGTACCTGACTTTACCTTTCTCAAGAAAAAAAGGGGTATGAACCCAAACTTCAATTTGTGTTAGGGGTTGTGGCCTTGACAAAACCGAGCCTGGTTTAACTTCATATTTATATGTATTAATATTATATAAGCATCTATTTATGCAAGTACTTATGTGTATATGTATGTATGCATGTGTATATATATGCAACTATGCGTCCATAAATGTATATTTTAATTATGTATTTTTTCACTGTAATTGTTTATGTATTTATGTATGTGTATCAAACTATCAATTTGTGTATGCATGTTATATTGTTATGTTTAAAGGCAAAACCTGTGATTCATTTTGTAGAGAAGAATTCCAATTGACTGGATTGGGAAACCAATATCCTTTTTCTCCTCTATATGGATTTTTTTTTGATGGCTATCAAAATTTATTGATTAAGAAAAGAATAAAGTTATGTACAGGTGTCGGGCCACCCTATGCTTGAGATGTTCTAATTCACTTCATGACATATCATTTTCTTTTGATGTCATGAACCTTACCCCACTCCCCAAAATTAATTTTCTCCTTATGAATTAGGAATCCATTGTCCTATTTCTTCTCTTTATGTATACCACATGCATAGGCATATCCATGCATGAAGATGAGTAAGATGTACTTGCACACCCAATGACCTGAAGTGTTCTAGGTGGACACAATTTTTTAAAAACGATGAAAAGTGTCCGGGTTGTTATTAGTTTTTTTATTTTGTTTCTTACATATTTACCCCTTGTTATTCAGGAATCAGGATTGATTTGATCTGCAGACTGAATGGAAACAAATGGAAACTATGTATGCTCTTGAAATTTGGATGGAGACCATGCTGCAAACCAGAGCATTGATTACCATTATTTCAGCTGATATCATATACTTGAATTTTGTTTTCCATCTTGTGGTTTTTCTGTTTCTATAGTCATGCCTTCTTTTGATTTCTATTGGAGTTCTTTGGTTGCTTTCTCATCAACTGCTTCATGTGGTGCTTTTGGCTCAATTTAGGTCCAAACACTTTGTCAATGATTTGCAGTGCCTGCATAGCAACTTATTTCTCTTTTTCCAATTTTTATTTGACATGCAGAGAGGATGGATCTTCAGAAGTGCAGCTAGGACAGACTCATGTTATGGGATTTGTCACTTCTCAACTAGTACAACCATATCGAGACAGGCCAAATGAAGGAACCCTTTCTATATATACTGAGTTTTCACCAATGGCTGACCCTTCATTTGAGGCGGGGCGTCCTGGGGAGTTTGCTGTGGAACTTGGACGAATAATAGACCGAGGTTTAAGGTGAAATCTTTTTTCATCATGGCAATTAAGACCTGTCTCCTTACAGTAGTTAAGAATATTTATTTCTTCAAAGTTGTAGTAGGTTAAAAATAGCTCAAGGCCTGGCCTGATTCTCTTATGCCATAAAAAGTTTTAGTGAATTTCATATTTTATTAAAAGAAAAGAAAAGAAGAAAAGAAAAGGAAAAAAAGAAACGAGTAAGAAAAGAAAAGCATACTGGATGTATATGAGTATCGTGCCTCAAGCAAAGAAAAGGAAACACTTGTCTTTGAGGTAGGTTTTGATTCCTGATCATGCCAATATAAGATGGAGTGAGCTCTTATAAGATGGATGGCCAGCTAATGAAGAGGTTCCTTGTAAGATTGTGATTAGTTTTCCTTCTCGAGGAGGAATAAAAGAAGAATGCAAATGTGAAACCTCTTGTCTTTCTCTACCAACTCAAAAGCCCTTCAAGACATTCCTCTTGTTATCTCTCTTTAGCATTCTACTAAGAATTTCCAGAAATAGAATGGAAGGCAAAGGGAGTACTAAGCTATCCTGTCCAAGACTTCAGGAGAGAATTGTATGGATATCACACAACCCATCATCCATAGCATCCAACACCTTTTTTCTTTCAAAACCCATCTTAACACGCGCCAATTTACAAAAAGACCTACCTTTTTTTTCTGAAAAAGCAAGATATATTCCATTAGTGTATGCAAAATTGTAGCCATACAGGGGTACCCATTTACAAATAATACAGCGAGTCTATCTATCAAAAAAAAAAAAAAATACAGCGAGTGTCAGACAAATCCTCAATCTGTCAAGCCCAAATCACCTCTGATGATAAAAGAACTGGGGTGTTATCCCCCTAGAATGACCCCTAACCGACGACCTAGACAACCCATTTCATATGATTATAAACATTTTTTCAACTTCAGTTTACACAAAAAAAACTCTCTTTGAAGACTCGATATCATCCGCTGCATCATTGTCATTCAGAATTTTATCTAAAACTTATTGCTTTTGTCAAAAAAAAAAGTATTGCTCCTTCACAAATGTACATTAGGGCAATACTTGTCAAGGCATTTAGGTGATAATGAGATGTCTAGTTGCTTAGGTGTTAGAATTTTATAAGGAAAAAATAAATTCCATGTTAGTTTTTACATGCCAGTCAGCATGCATATAAATGAAAAAACAGTAATTCTCTTTACTAATTACATTAATTTTGCTCTTTTATATAAAAGACAATAGCATTTTAAATGTATTTATTTGTAATATTTGAAACACAATATTATATAGCATATAAGTATTTAATAGAGCAATTGCATGCCCAAAAATTAATTGCTATAAACAAACATATTCTTTTTAAGGTTATCCTAGATTCCTAGTACATAAAAGAGTTGGACAAAATGCAGCAATTACTTATAACTAATAATCTTGTTCTAGTGGAAATATTAGTTATTAGAGGGTCTTATTTTTTTGATTGGAAACGGTAATTACAGGGTCTAATTTAGAATTTGTTTTTTATCATATAATATTTTGTTGAGATCATGGTTATTTTGCTCTCTCTCTCTCTCTCTCTCTGTATGTCTGTGGG